GTAGAAGTGCTTCCTACACTCATGATAATCAGAAAATATTGATATTAATTACGGTTTCAAGTTGCTAATCGTTTTCCAAGTTTTAAAAGTGCTGTGATAACTCATGTCCATGCAGTAATTATTCATAGAATTCTAAGGTGTTCTTATACACTGTTATATGTAAATTTTGTAATCGCCCTGTATTATCATTACAACATCTTAATTACGCAAATTATAGGAAAGTATACGTGTAATACGAGAGTAATTGCGAATATAAATTTGTGCAAACGCGAGGGCACCGAAGGTTGATTTTAAATTTAATCTCAATAGTTGCCTCCCACTTATTGTAACATAATTTTATTTCTTTGCAAAATCTTGTTAAATCTTGCCCTAAATCACGCTACTACGAGCAACGCTAACTTTCTGCATTGATCATGATTTTGTTGTTAACGTGAGTATACGTAAACTAGAAACGTATCAATATTATTATTATTCGTTTCATCTAATGTTTCATTCAACTCTACATATTTTTTAAATAAAATTGTTTTAAAACCACGTTGCTAAATTACGTCGAATTTTATTTCAACTAATCTTCCGTCTAGAATATTTGTTGTACCGAACGGAGCGAGTTCTTTTTCAGACACTCTTTCGTATTCGAAGTGATTGCGTCAGAAAATCACATAGAAACTCTTTCAAATTAAATATATACGAAGTTTCGAAAGAGTTACGCGAATCTGTAGATCGAAAGAAGGAACGATATTTTACGTAGACCAATTTAATCCTCGAATTCCAAAGTTTGCCCGGATTGCCGAAGCAAGTCGAACGCGATATTTGGTGAAACGTTTCGTGTTTTTCTTTGACTGCATAGCCGGCAAAAGTCGATCTGGTCCCCGTACAGTTCGCGAATACTTCTTCATCCATATCGAAATATTTGTCTTAGATCGGACTTTAATCTCACGATCTACAAAACTCCGGGTATATTTATTCTCGGACCGAGTTCGACGGGTATATTCGTAATTAATTTTATCCAATCCCCGGAATTTACGTTCGAAACGTTCCTCGAATTTGGTCAAACCAACGATTCTGTTTGCAAAACGAACAAGTCCCGGGGCTATTTACCGGAAAAAGTTTCAAATCGGCGATGTTGTATCGGATTGTTGCAAATAGAATGACTAATTCTACAAACGCGTCAAGCTTTTCGCAATTTGCTCGCTAAAATGTACTGTCGGACTGTACTCCAAGCGAAGTTAATCAAAAATGGTATGGAAACTAATATATTTTATTACGCTTTCTAATCTATTAAGTTTTTACGGACAATCTTCATAAAATTTATTAAAAAAAAATTTCTTCTTCATATTATTTATTTCTTAACGCACAAGAATGCTATCACTTTAAAAATAGTTTTTCAAGAAAACGTATGAAAAAATAGAGGTTAATCGTTTACGTAACGATTTATGATTCGGTCTTTCCAGGCTTAAAAGTTTAATATAATTTATGATTCGGTATTTTACATTCACGATATAATCTTCACCGTGGGTGTTGCAAACCTCGTGCCCCGATCGAGTTAATCACTGCAAATAAAAATTTAATCGAGCTTGGAAAATATTAATTCGCGTGCGCGGATCGAGCGAAAGACGGAATAAATTCTACAATCGCGAGATAAAATAACGCGTGTACAGGGAAAATACGATGCTGGACGTGAGTCGAGATCACCGAAGGGATTTCCATTCTATTATTTGCTCTGCGTAGTTTACCTTTGTTTTCGTGCGACGTATCCGTGCGTGTACATATGCGGACGAAAATTTATACGGTTCGTCGCACTTACATAGTCTGCTTGATCAATGTTCGGATTGAATTTTCAACGAATGAAAAGAATTTTCGAAAGGTTTCATTATTGCACTTTGTTCTTCTCGAAGTATTAGTTTGCTTTTGTTCCAAACATTTTTTTGTCAGAGTAGCGTAAATGCCTCAAACATCGATGCGACAGTTGGAACGAACGTTTTTAATTGGTATACTATTTTTTATCTTTACGAACCGTTACCATTCTCGACGACAAACAAATAGTGAAAACATAGTTCTAGAATGTACCGAATGGTTAAGCGGGCTTAACAAGTATGTAGCTAGCGACAATTTCGAGTGCGAAATAGGACCAACCGGAGCAATTAACTCTGTATCCACCGTAAATAACGCGGTCCCGTTGATTTGATGCCAGTTAACAAGGCGCCTTTAATCGCGCCACGGCGGTCGAACGACGTGTCTCGAATGGAACGCTCAAATGGGAGCGCATAAATTTTCCTTCGTGTTTTCGAGGGCGAAGGTAAAACACGAGAAGAATACTCCGTTCGATGCCAAGGCTTTTTCAAGGTTTGATGAGAGTCCATTTGTTTCGTTCCCCTTTTTAGCAAAATTACGGATTCTTGTTCGCAGCATTTCTACGTAAGGGATCGCTTCCACAGCGATCGGTAATAATTTATATACGCTTTGAAAAAATAAATCGATAATTCGAAGAAACGTTATCAATTTTCTGAAATTAATATTTATTTAACCTTATTCGCCGCAATAAAATTAAACAAAATATAGTGAATTTAATTTTTGCTTTTGGGAAGAAAATAATACAGTGAACAATCTGTTCAGTTGATCGATAAATTCACAAATGAATTATTTCTAAAATTGTCGATTAATTTCGCAGTAAGTTTACGTCCGTCACTTTCGTTCTAGTTTTCTTTTCTCTGTGTATCCTCGATGCAATTCAATTTTATGCACGATTGATACATTTTATCCACTGTATTTGTATTTTTTCCGTGTGGCATTTATTCAACAGCACGAAACAGATTCGAGTGTTATACCGACGAGCAACTTCCTGGAATGCTCGAACACGTTCCACGAAAAATGTTATTTTTTCTTCTCCGTTGCATCAAAATTCGTTTTAATATTTCAGGATAGCATTCGTAAAAGAAATTTGATAAACAGAGAAAACAAAAACGAATAATTTTTACGGTCGACAAGGTTTGGTCTACCGAGATTCTAAGTGTCATAAATCAATGTAATAACATTTTATCCACATAAAACTTTCGACAAACCGATGAAAGATAAACATCTTGTTACATGTTTCTCATTGAAAAATTTCCGGAGTATCGATTCGATAGAATAAATCTCACGTACAAAGCGAAGTATTAAAAACTGTTCTCTGTTTTTCGAATATTTTCTACCAAATTTTTCCACACATTTGTGCTAACACTGGCCAATAAAGTAGCGTCACCTGCGACGTACCCATTCTATTATCGCTTTTTTGCGGGATTAACATAGCGTTATACGTTTGCCTGTCAGTATATAAATTCAAGTACTTGCATAAAAACATGACATATATTAATAGATAAAGCAAGATGAAAGAACACGACTCAAAAAATTACTATCGTGCAAACTAAACTGAAATATACCAACGTATAAATATATATCTGGCAACAGCGTCTCGATAAATTAAATAATTTATGTCGCCTTCCCACGACTGTTTTTATATATTTTATGCTCTTCCCTCTTCTTGTGCAAATAAAATAAATATTTCTGTGATGCACGAAGCGACACGGAAAATTCGGATCGTTTTGCTCGAGAGACGTCGGCATTGCCGTCGCTTTGACAATCCACGAAGACTAAACATTCAACAGGAATGTTATTTTGTTGTAGCAAACCGACATTTACCGTTTGCCTGAATCCGACGAGCCTGGATTGTTTACGGTCGAATAAAGGGAGGGCGAAACAGTCAACGATAATGTCGAGGACACAAAAAAAAAAGTGTTCCTGTGCTTGACGGGCAATGATACGATATCACAGCTCGTCGAACTCGACCCTTTGCTCTATGAGAACGTACAGATGTTTCCACTTTCTGTGAACGACCGCTCCAGCGATTTCAACTCGGATAATGTATGTCATTATTCGGTGGAAAAGAAATTCGTGAACGAGAATAGCTGACCTTTACTTGTTTTCTAGACAGAAATAGTAAAGTAAGAAAAGATATGTTGATGCATTAAAGAAGACAAAGCTTTGAGAGATAAAGAACAAGTAACAAGAAATGGAAAGTCAAATGTCATTTTATTTTCTCAATAAGTGAATATTCTTGGGATTTCCCATCGAGTTCTGGAAATATTGAACAATTTTATTTGTTGAACCACCTTATGATACTCGTTATCGAGGAATAAAAAATAAAAAATAATGTATAAAAGTAAAGGTCAGTAGTTGTGGTTCCTGTATGTTTCCAACCAACAAACGCGGTATATAAAAAGGAATTTATTCGCTACTAATATTAAAAAATATATTTACTGGCTGGAGGAAAGTGAAATCTTAGACACGAGTAACACGACTACAATGTCTGTACCCGAATACACGAATACCCAAGATTGGGTTATCCGTGAGCCCGAGCAACAGTAACAATCCTAGTACCTACAAAGCATCACCACACATCGAATGTTCGGAATGGCCACCATTGGCGGACCACACGCGTCGATATGCCGTATCATTGATTGTCTCGCGTGTTCGAACACTCGCGATTGATTTCTTAGAACTCGCGACAAGACCGATGGACACTTATCAATACCTGTGATATTAGCAAAATGTGCTTGACATTTCTTACAATATCGATGCAATTCAAACGTCAACAAAATTTGCTTAGGGGAAAAACAACTCTTTAGTGGAGTTGAGGCCCCCTAAAATAAAACATTGTTCAACACTATGCAATGACCATTTTCCTTATCAATGGTGACACGTTATTCTCAATCGTTTGGCCAGATATACGTACCGCAAGTCTAACACGTGCTTCTAATGCTTATTAGCGTTACCGTGCCATTTATATGCAAGGGGTTAACCATTCGTTTGTACAAATACACTCTGAGCCAGCGGCCCCCGTCAAAACTCTCATAAAAATTTGACACGCGCAACGTTTCCCTGTATATTCAGTCAACCAATCTTCGTACCATTCATCGCGGCAAAAGTCACGCGCACGTGTACGTGACTCTTTCGTAAGCTCGTACCTGAAATGTCGACGCGGGCCCGATCTCTCAGCGGCAAGCGACGTGCATCGTCATCATCGCGCGAACGTCCTCTGCAGGCGGCGCGACGCGGATCCAGAATGTCGTACGTGATCCAGCGACGATGGATCCAATGGTGCACGGACGGTTTGACGGTTCTTAACCGAAGGGGGGAAGCGGTTTAATCTAAAATTTCGAAAACAGTGGATTTCTTAGTTTTTGAATTTTTCTAACATTTCAGGTATACTATGGATGTAATCGAAAATTATGTGTAACTTCGTTGAAAAATAAATAAATGATTCATTTGATTTCTTTATGTTTTCTAACACTACGTGTACACAGCATCGTTAGGTAAATTTTATTCATAGATAACAATTAAGAATTTACATTCATTCGAATGCAAGACGTGCAGAAGTTGGTTTACGAATGAACATGACATTGTTATTCGTTATGCCCGACTCTGGCGAACAGAAACTTTAAAGCAATTCTGCGCGTAACAACGTTCTTCGAACTGATGTACACGATATCTCAGTATGTAGTTAAACGATTTACTTAAAACTTGGCACGCGTAAAAAGTACACGATCCTGTAAAGCGTGAAACAAGATTATCTTTACACGTTGGAAACTTCTGTAGCTATTACATAATAAAACCGTAAGTTTCTGTAGAAAATTGAACTCTTTCCTATGGAACTGACGCACGCTTTAACATTTTTATTATGCTTTAAAAGCCTCAATTGGCGCGTAAGTTAATCAACTGGTTATTACTTTCTAGATCAAACTTTCTAGATCAAACTCTAAAAATTGATTCGCGACAAGCCCCATGTAAATATCTGAAGTAGTTTCGGAGTTACAGCAAAGGTATCCAGCCTGTATCGTTCTTCAAACGTTGTCTTTCGCGCTACACTGGCTCCAAGATCTTACGAATCGCGTCTGAGGTTCATTTTAAGAATCACTATCTTAATATTTTCTTATTTAATTTTAAACGTATACTTGTTAGGATCTGTATTAACAAGAGACCCAAAATAAATTGAATCCTGTCGGTAGTTTTGTCAGAACGAATTTCGAAAGTTTGCGCTACTTTTGAGGGCGTCACGATGGTGTAACCCCTTAACGAAGGGCCAGGGTAGCTAGCCATCGGCGTGCTATTTACATCGTTTTAGCCGCGGCCGCGCATTATCGGTCGAGACACCTGCCGGAAATACCATTAGCGACCATTTATTTCTAACGAATACCGAATCACGACGGCCGATAATCCGGTGTCGGGCGCGTTTTAGCCGAGCTGAAAGTACCAGCGACCGGCGCGGCCTCGTTTTTCGCCGGGAGCACCGAGCGGACACCTCGGGGAGGATTTAGTATCTGGGAAAGGGGGTTGATCCGGGACCGTCAGGCTTTGGAACGAACGACGCTGAAAGGGATGAGCGAGAGAGAGAGGTGTGATAGCGGGTATTAGAGTCTCGCGCGCTGGCCTGTCGGTAGCCTCTGGTACTTTCGGTGGCGTCTGTCCCTCTAGGGTGCCAGAACTCCGAGACGCGGTCAGTTTATCGCTAGACGAAGGGGCGAGTTCTGAGATCATGGGAAATACCGACGTTTTATGACGGTTCTAGAACTATCCAGGTGGACAGCACATTCTTCACCAGTCGAGAAACTTTTCATAATAATTGTCTTGCAAGGGAGATTCTTTAAATGTACCTTCCACTTATTAACAAGCTCTTGTATCAACGTCTAAACAAAAATTTTAAAGACACGCGGGTGGAATATAGAAATTACAAAAAAAAGGGACACTAAAAATTCTATAGACCTTAAAGGTTGATATATCTTACTCAACGTCGCAGGAACAACAATATCTAGTTTCTTTCGGTAACTTTTTACATCATCGCACCATTCATTGTTAGACGCAGCCATAAATTGTCTGGCAGCGAAACATTCTTAAACAGATATTGATGATAATAAATGAGTAACTACGATGTAACGTAATGCAGAGCCCACGATAGACCAAAGTAAATTCTGCGGCTTTGTGTATAGAGACTATATACAAAGCCGTCGACACAATGCGGGGCAAACAAATCCTAAAACAAATAATGCATCATGCGCGACTAATGATATTCTTTGAACGTCTATGCAGGCCCGTATTTCGTACGTTCGTATACTACTTTGTAACAGATAATCAGCTTTGGACGCATGAGATACGTAGCTTCGAAATTCTGCAAGTAGTGCGTAAACGCGTCAAAAGCAACGTTGCTCGTTTATTTTTATTCAAAACAGTACTGCTAGAAGAATTAATTTTGTATATTAAAAAAGACATAAGAGCAACGAAAAAAATATTATATTTCAGAAAATGTCATGAATAGCACTTTTATGATTTTGAAAATTACCAAGATCTGGGCGAAATTCAAATAATAATTCAAAAATAATTATTTCGAGCAATGTATTTTAATTGATTTTACGTTTTACTAATTGGGAAATTGTTATTCCAAAAATAGATTATTTATCGAATAACTCTGAAAAAATAATTTTGAAATATCGTAACGTGAAAGTGTCTCGAAACGCCCAGGTTTAAGAGTTACGTATAAGCGTTTCTTCTTGTCGGTTCCGAGAAAATTAGTCTGCAGTAGTTAAAACGACTATCGATCAGACCGTACGGCTATCTATAATAAGTATCCCTGGACTTCCTCTTACCAACGGAGATTCGACTTACGAGGCATCGAGGTAGTCGTGACCCTTGCATGCTTAATTTGCTCAGCAACAGGTTTAGGTGTCAGGATCTAAAAAGTCAAGTGGATGCGAGTTAGGTGAACGAGGCAGTCGAGGTTCGAGCATAAGGACAGTGAATCAATTTCCTTCATCGCCCTTTTTCAAAGTGCTACTGTCAAGACTCAAATGTTATCGTTAGAGCTGAGACAATTGAAACAATTTAATGGCTACGAATAAACTTCGAATATCAAACTTTATTTAAACCATGAACATTTCGATGTTTATTCAAATCATCTTTGGTTTGATAAAAAAAAATGATAATATAAAAATTTTATGATAAATTGAACATTATCAGTTATTGTTAAGAGTCAATTTAGTTTTATTTAGACGCGTGTGCGATTAAACGGAGATAAGAAGATTCACCTGCTCGAGATAGCGAAAAGAAAGATAAGGTAAGATGAGCTCTGATACCTCGTCTTTAAATCCTCTCATCGAGTTCCAATTAATACGCGCCGCCAGCCGATATTCAACATTTAGATTGCAGACTAATTGGTTCGCGACAATTTAAAATCGCCGTCTGCCGGACTTCAAGGCAGAAGAGAGCCACCTCCGTTTCTCCTAATTTTCTTTTCCTCCCTGGCCAGCCGTGGATTAAGGAAATCATCCTCTCGGGATGAAGTATTTGCGCCGCGATCGTTGGGTTAGAAGCCGGGGAATTTTTGTAGGCCATTAAGTCGGGACCGAATTGGATCCGATAAGAGGATAAAGAAAAATTTGTGAGTACGTTTAATGAAGGAGAGGGGAGACAGAATCGGAGAAAATCACTACAGAGCAATGCAAAGTTCTCTTGATATCGAAGTATCGATCGAGCGCCATTGTGTTTCAATTTTCTTCTCGTTGCTTCGTTCTTCTCGAAATATAAGACTTTAGACTTCATTACAGTTTCTGTCAACTATAATTCTTGGAGTAGTACTGTTTTGATGAATTTCTTGGTACTATATTTTGTGAAATTCGATCTACTTTTCGATAGAATTATTCTTGGCGACTGTGCAAGACGATCGTAAAGCCCCCTTGTGAGCAAACATTTGATGGAATAGAGGTTACATTATGCTATTTTGATGACTCGTGGAAAAGAGCAAACAGGATGAGGTTTCAACACAAAGCACAGGATGCGTAACGACATCTTACGTAACGCGTTACGATGGCAAATGTGGATGTATTTCTGGCACGCGTAACTGCGGTGGATAAAGGTGACCCTGTTAACGACCTTTCTTAATCCGACGACCTTACGCTCTGTCGAGCGAGGGTTAACACGCTCGATGGACCGATGAATTAATAATCACGAGGCGAGGAGCGAACAAAGGGCCGACACGATCGCGTCGAGATCGAACGTTTCTCTTATTCCATAAGCGACAGGATGAAAGTCTCGTAGAGAAGCGGAAGACTCTCGGTAACTCGTCGAAAAAAACGTGATCTATCTGAAAAGTAAGCTGCCAACGAGCAGAACACTTTTCAAGATATTAAATGCAAACGGACTGACAATAAACAAATATAGTTCTTCTATAAAGAAACTAACTTGACGTTGAAATCTTCGCCATTTTTTCATTGACAAGAAAACTGTTTCTGTCGCGATATGCTCTTTTATACCAAACAATTTTTATCAAAACATTTTTGCGACATCTTTAGTTGTTTATGAGATATTCCAGATTCCCAGATAAATATATGAAATTACCCGGATAGACAGAAGCAATTACTACATAGAACAAAAAATGAGGATTTCTCGCTCGTCCATGAGGATTTACGGGGAAATTTGAGAGAGAAACGAACCGAGGGAAACTCGAAAGAATTTCTCCAGGAAGAAGCGAGCATGTGCTTCTAATAAGGGGGTAATCTCAGTCTCATGGAAAAAAAGAAACAAGAAAGTCTCTTGTTAACGAACTTCCGCGAATCTTTGGATGCTCGACGGTGCACAGAATAATAATAAACGTCGAATAAAACGCGTAGAGATCGTTAGTTTTAATAAGAGAAAATGGACAATGTTCGCTGAAATGACCGCGTTGCTTCAAATATTATATTATCCCCCTTTGCAACGACTTTCTCTCGCGACGTAATTAAATTCAAATAGGAGGCTAGTTCAAATAAAAGAGAGACTTTTCTTTGCTAGAGAACATTATTCAAAATCGATAATATATCTAACTATATTTTGATAGGAAAAAAGAAATACAACATTTTAAAACACGTTGCTACGTCAATCAAGTTCAGGAAGAATAGTACAAATTTTGATATTTATATGCAATTCCTTTTATATAGCACTTTCATTCTTTTCGTACTATTTAAATTTATCTTTTCCTTGCGCGCCGAAAACGGATTCAAAGACGTTTTAATAGAGCTTGCACGAGCTACAATGATGAATTTTAAAAGTCTCATTTATAGTTGAACCACTCCTGCAGAACATTTTCATTTTCTAGCAGTCGAAGGAAGAAAACAGCGAAGGG